AGTTAAAACAAAAAATTGTTAATTTGGTTAGAAAAAATAAAATAAATTGATTGTTCAAAACAAATTCGGTTCTTATTCGGTTCTAGGTCTAGAACCGAGAACCGAACCAAAATTTTTCGGTTTTTCGGGTTTTTAAGTTAAGAAAACCAGCTCGGTTCGGTTCGGACATTTTGCCCAGCCCTAATCATTTTTAATGCTTTCTATAATTTCTCTTTACAAACAGCTTTATTCTTAGAAGGGCTAATTTACGGATTACGTATAGTTGTCCAGTTTTCAAGATTGAGATCTCTCCCAAATTTTCGCCATCGCCAACAGACCAACAAATTGCTAAAAAATTAACTGTAGATGTGTTTCTAGCTAGAACAATGCCATCAGGTTCAGAAGTTGATCAGAACTTACCGAAGAATATACTAGCAGCATTTTCCAAGCTGGTCGGGACTTTAAAAAGAAGTATACCAGCAAAAGAGAGAGGTAACATATTTAACAACTGCATGAGACTGCACGATGCAAAATGAAACGAGCATAGCCAAGATTACACGTTCGGAATCAAAGAAAAATATGTTTCTGGAAACGTGTTCGGAACCAAAATGTTCCTTTAAAGCACATTTACAGCCTGGTCAAACATGGGATTGCAATGGGATGAACAAAAGAATTTGGAAGTCATAAATTAACCAGGCTTGATTGCTAACAGAGAATTGATTAAAGAAACAGTACTTCGGAGACTCGGAGCTACAACATAAAGAATTCCAATCTTACATGTTATATTTCACCTAATAGCGAAACAGAAAATATTCACAACCTTCTAATCTAAATTAGAACAATATTCTAGAGAGGGGATAATGGTTCGTTTTTCAGGAGGCTAGAAGGGAATAGGGATCATAATCCCAAAAAATATGTTAATGGTACTGACATCAACATGAAAAAATAGCAGAAGTTGCCGATTAGCAAAACCTTTCAACTGCCTCTTCCATGACCAATACCCTCTTTTCATCTAATGACAGCAACTAACAAATTTGACTCCCCCTTTAATTATCCCGAGCAACTAAGACCCGGATATCGCAAATAAAATGTAGACTGCACTGTTCTGTTTCTATGGCGTAAAATCTTTCAAAGTGCAAGAGGAATTAAGGTTCGCCTTCAGCCCTTTGCCATAGGCAGCAATTAGCAGAGCCTCAGCACGACCTGCAAAATTCCAAAACCCAGAGCATTGAACATAAGATGGGATATGCTGAGAAAAAAAGAAGATAAATAATCCGTTGATATAACATCTCATATTTGCCATCACAGCCACCCCAAACTTTCTCAATCTTTGTGTGCATGTGTTGCGGGTGCGTGTGGAAATGAGTGTCCTGTGACCACCTCATCTTAAAGTTTCATAAGGTAAAGAAGGTGCTCATTTATTCTTCGGCACCATCTTACATGCAAATTGAAATCTTTTTTCCTCTCCCTAAATGGGCCAAGCACACAGAATTATCATAAAAGAGAGTCCTGATCCTTGACCTGAAGGCCTGATCACTTCATCTAAAAGCTTCAGCGTGGATAGGGGAGACTTTCATATGATTAAATATTCGAGAAAAGGAAATGTGAAACTTAAATGGTAGTTTAAAGAGCCAGAGAAAAACTGAGGAAAAGATTTACAATATGCTCATATTCCCTAGGTAGGCTTGAGGTAACATAAAAATATGTAGAAATGGTGTTGCAAGTTCTTTTTCTAGATTCCACAACGTCAAGGAAGAAAATAATGGGGAATATAGATAAGTGCAAAAATTCCAAATCTTTGGCACATGGTAACAATCTACAATCAGAATCGAGAAAAAAATTAATATATGCAAGTCTGCGAATTGCCTCACTGGATAAAATCTTCAATGAGAGAAAACAGAGACTAAGTAAGATCATATGTTATGCATCTTTCAAATTCATTTAGCAAATAATTTAAAGTTCACACAGGAATATTGCTCCAGATTGGTGTCAAAGAGACCACCTTGTCACTCGGAAGACTTATCCTGCCAAAAGCTAATGGACTTGAAAAACATTAAGGCGCATTTATGATAAACCGTAATGTACATGACCATGGAAAAGATTTAAAACAAGCCATAAAGAGTCAGGCCTGGACAGTAGAATGCTATGCGCCAGTCCAACATGCCTCATAGTAATAGAAAAATTAACATTTAGTCTAAGGCTGTCGTTTGTGGCATGCCACAGATGACAGTCCCCTGGTCAAAACCTATTTTTCATTTGGGACATGAAAGATTTTTACAGTGAACTCCCTCTAGCAAGTTGACATAGTCATTCAACTCTAAATCCCAGAAATGCAGCAATCTCATCTAGGGATTTCATACTTTTCGAGGCAAAAAGTCCACATGGTAATAGAGTATACTTACCATGATCTTTCTTCCTTTTCAACAGGGAACTCAAAGATGGAAATAGAGTGGAAGCAAGCTCCCTACTATCATCCTGTCGCACAAAGTAATGATGTCATATTTTCTCATGGATTATTATCGTGTCACACATATAGCAACTTTAAAGGTGTACGCGGTGATCAATATATACCATAAGATGCAAAAAAGGTGGTATTATCAATGCAGCATAGAACAGATGCAGCTCAATATTAATAACCATATAAGCTCATTCTATCCAGTGAAACATCACACGAACCTTGCTCGAGCGATTCCCCGCAAGTTTAAACTCGTTCTTCCACAACAATGATGGGACCGGAACAACGGAAAAGCCTGAGGCAACTAAAATTCCAATCCATAGTCCATATCCAAATCCCCCACTCCACCATCCCTAGACGGATCAGAGAATGAATTTCAGATCAATAAGACAAACAATCAATAGGTGGAACAAAAATGCAATGAGAGTACCTATGTCATAACAAAAGAAGCAACATTACAAAGGAGATAGGAAAATGAAAATTAAGATCGGAATATAGCAAAAATTGTCAAAATCAGATCCATTATAAATCTTTGACACATAATCCTATGCTCCTTACTGTTGTTTCTGAAGAAAGCTGGATATGGCAATGTCTTCTTTTTAATAAACAGTTTAGATAATATACATTCAAATGAGAAGACCAGGTTAGAAGATATGATGATTAATGAGAAAAAAGTTAATTGAGAAAATTGGCAAGACTCAATATCTTATAGCAAAGAGAATCTAAACGCCACGTGGACTATTAAAAGGAATGAGGCCGATAATTCAAAGTGGGGGGTTACAATTCAGATGCCTAAAGGCCATGTGGTCTATTAAAAGGAATGAGGCCGACAATTTAAAGTGGAGGGTTACAATTCAGGGGCATAAAGCCTCTGCAGCCTTATCAGGTTCTAGTTCAACTCTGTTATGGATCATCGGGAAGAAGAAAATCATGGCTAGCAGGGATAGTTTTAACAATATTCTGAAGTACCGAATATGGTATGAAGGTTATGGATAAGAGATTGCCAAGAGAAACCATGTAAATGGCCAACTGAATGCAGTGGATGTGGGGAAAAAAGACAGCCCTTTATAATAAGCAGATGCTTTAAATCTGGAGGGAGTTGGCTTGAGATGTCTGTAATATTACAAAGAAGATGAAGCTGTTAAGAGAGAGTGCACATAGCAACAAAGTATAATAGTGGAGAAGTTTCCTGAGTAGGGAAAACGAATACAAGAAATTGAAATTGACAGCAATCGTTCAATTACAATCGACACAAGGAAGGTGAGAGATGGATGACACTAGCAGATAAGGGAAGAAGGTTGTGCTCTGTGACCGAATTCAATTTAACATGAATTTCTACGCATGGGGAACGTGGAAATATAGATTTTCTGTAATAGAACAGTGGTTATTCTTGGAGGGCTATGGTTTTCTTTCCGGTAATATGGTCGCTTTTCTGAGTTAGCAGGCTTTCAGATATTTTGGGCTTTCCTAGCTGCTTCAAGCAACTTGTAAATGAGACGTATCAACCTTTCCATGCATTATTTAGAGACACTCTTACTAACATGAGAGAATCAAATTAAGCACAATCTTAAATGAACCATCTCAGCATAATAAGCGTCTTTAGCTATTTTGAATTTGAGCTCAATTACAAAATGCTATGAGACAAACACAATGGGTACAAATCTGAGAAATGCTCCAAACATAAGATGACAACCAAAATGGCAAAATCAATATGAAATTAATGTGCCACATATTTTTTCCCCTTTAAATTTGACACTTCCATCCAACACACAAAATTTTACCAGGTGAAAGGTCAGATTAATCAACCGAAAGCGCACATCATGCATAGCCCCTGTTTGGGCCACATTATTTTTTTCATTTTCATTTTTCTACTCATTTTCAACCACGCATTATTCAATAAAATAATATTTTCCATCACATCAATAACTTTTCCTTCTTTTTCAACCACATATTCCCTATCACATCAACAGTAAAAATGCATTCTTCTTCCAAAAATGTGCACCAAACACATTCTTCAATAAAATAATACTTTTCATCACATCAATAACTTTTCCTTCTTTTTCAACCACATATTCTCTATCACATCACTTCAAAAAAATGCATTCTCTCATTTTAATGTGTACCAAACGGGCTCATAATAACAAAGATTTTGAATTAATATCAGCACTGCTATGGTAATAACCATAACAAAAGAACTAAGAAGTGCGCCGAAAGAAAAACCCTAATAACATGGAAATGGTAACAGGAGCAACAATTTCTTAGAGGAAAGAACTACATTCCTTTCTCTGACAGATTTCTAACCTGCTTACCATCTTGTGGATATGGAAGTGATTGCTCAATATATGCAGTGGTTCCTGAAAGTAACAAACCTAAACACAGTCAAATTATCTTTCAGCTCGAGATGAAGGTCCAATCAAAGAGCATACCAATATATTACTCACAAAAAAACACAACTAGTCGTGACAAACAAACAAAAAATTGGATAATTGGAGGTAAATCACCTTTTGAAACCCCCACTCCAATAATAAAGAATAAAATCCACTTGTTCGGTCATTCTAACAAAGGAGTCCTACTTTTACATCTGTACCAAATCACTGGCTTACTAGGTATATAACTGCAATAAGTTTTATATACAAACAACAACTAGCAATTGTAATGCCAATGGTCACTTCTCATTCTGTAGTGCCACAACTTTGATTAAGTTTTTAAGCAAGGAATTGTATCAAGCAGCTTTAAAAGAAGATGAGCAACTTTGAATAGACAAATGATTTCGATATTGTGATTGTCATTTGTCAATGATCGAACTTCTATATTCCAGAGAGAGAGAGAGCACATCTTGTCTAATATTATATCCCGTGTGGATAATTCTTTGCTTTTTCTTTCCTTTTTTTTTTTTTTTGGTTCTCTTTTCTGAGATTCACCAGACTCCTGTGCAACAACTATCCTGAGTGCAAACCACACCAGTGAAAGGGTACAAAAGCAGATATGCACCACATAATTCATTCATGCATTGTATAAGAGTGACCTGGAAAGCATATCCATTTTCAAGTGCAATACCAACAAATTACAGTCTATTTATTGGGAGGTCAAACCAACCATCACAGTAATTAGTAATTAATTAGACAATGTTGCATGAGAAGCTAGAATAGGAGGTCTTTGAAAACTTGTAGAATTATAATATACCAATAGGAGCATTAAAACTTTGAATCAACTGAACGATTGACTTTGCATCCAATCGCTTCCGCACTCCTTTGCCAATCAGTACTTTCAAGTGAGGAGAATCAAATACCTATAAGATTGGTGAAAAGTAGTTAATGTGAAATAAATAGGCATCAACAAAAAAAAATTAAAAAAAATACCATTACTGAATTTATATTAAATGCTTAGGTCACTAGATTATGTACATAAACTTGGAACAGATAAAGAAAACACAACTGTTAAATTTATATGAAGCAGATTGTTGGTCACATATATATTACCCTGAATTTACTCAACCTTTTCATATATGATTACTAATATTCTGGCATTAATGTGCATTACAGGTTAGGACTTGGCAATCTATCATTTAAAATTTGAAAAATACCATGTTGATATCTGGAAGGATCAAACTGAAAATAAGCATATGAGTTTGCTAGTGGAGGAAAGAAAAGATAAATGCTGAAAGAACATGTTCAGCACACTACAGAGAAACACAGGGTCTGTTACACTGTATCATGGTTTAAAAAGGCGGTAGTGAGGCGCGCCTTGAGGCCCACCTCACTGTGAGGCACGTATAGTATGCCTCGATGCGGTATTTTTAAGGCTAAAAATATGAGGCTTACGCCTCTAAATCTGAGGCGCACGCCTCATGGAGCATGAGGGATGCGCCTCATTTAAAATTTGATTTTTTAATTATATGAAAAGAAATCAGAAAAGGTCCTTCTTAAAAAAGAAAATGGTCCATTTAAAAAGACATTTTGGGCCAAAACAAAATAATAAAATACCTAAAAAACTAAACGGCAGAGGACCAAAAATGGAATAGATTCAACAGAAATTCAAAAGTCAGAATTCAAGAAGAGTATCGTTTTCTTCATCAATTCATCAGGTATGTTTTTCCTCTTTTCTTTTTCTTTTTCTTCTTAGGGTTTAGTAAATCTTGCATGCAATTAGTTNCTCAATCCGCCCCGAGGCTTACGTCTCGCCTCATAAAGAAAATCCGCCTCAGTACTTAGTTTCGTCTTTATTTTTCCGTCTATATTGTAAACTTGGATAATAAAACCCTTCTCCAACCAGAAAGATAAATATGCACAATTGTCAAAGAACATTGTGTGATTCGTAAATCCTCATTCAACGTTGTTAATCCTACATCTTCAATATTGTATTTTTAATGGCCCAACTGTCTAGAACGTCCAAACACAAAGGTTAAGTCTTGGAAGGAACCAAGAAACGTCCAACTCTCAAAGCACGTTGCACAAATCCAAATGCTGTAGTTATATGAGAAATTATTAGCCAAAGGGAGTTAGATTCCAATGAAAAGTGCCATACCAATTTCTCACCTAGAACATGTTCTTAGATGATAAATTCCCTTAACTGGAACTGTCAGTGGCCAAAGTAAATAAAGATAGACAAAATGGACCAGATTAGAGGTTTGGCACATAATTTTCAAAAACCATTTTCAACCACACATTCCGTGGTTACAACTTTTACCCACCTATCAACCACACATTCTCCAAAATAAATCAATTTTCACTTGAAAAATCAGTGCCAAACAAGCTTAAAGATTCTTAAGAAGTAGAAAAGCTCTACAACCAAAGGGACGGGGTGCTGGAATCACCTCTAATGCTACTTATACTAGCCCATGGAAGTTCATTTCTCAATTGAATTCTCCATATCTTCCTCTATAATGCCTCGAGATGGACAACGGGTCTAATGTTCATTTTTTGGAGGACCTCGTACGGACAATACTTGTTTGTTTCACTGACTTATCCTCATTCATACTGTCTTTCCTGTATTCATGATGCTCCAGTTTCCCTCTTATTTTTTATTTTTTTTAATAATTTTGGCAGGTGCATCACCTTCTTAACAAACGGGAGGCAGAGGATCTTATATCCATGATCAATTTGCCAGAGGATTTGAAACTTGATTGTTCTGGTGTACTCATGCAAGTCTTTCCTTTCTTAGCTTATTCAATTCCAACTCACTCCATTCCTTTTCAAGTCTTGCATTTGGAAATCTACGGTCCCTTCCCAATAGTTTTGTAACTGAAGACATCTTCTATCTACTCATATTTTTCTTTCCTTCTACGAATAAACTGTCTTTTCACCAAAAATGATTATCAGAAGTTATGATTGAAATCTCATTCACAGTAATTGTCATGCGAGATACAACTCTGAAATCATCCTTGTTGATGAACCTATAAATGACAGTGGTCAATATTTATGACCTCCAATTCGTGCAAAAAAATTAAAAAAAATCTAACACGAGATGGTCTAATATTGCATTACACGAACAAAATTATTAATCAATGCAATCTATAAAGCAAAATCGTCGACAGTGGTACCATATTTGATCAATTAATACCTCATAAAATTAATAAGCAATACCTGAGGAGAATCATCAGGTTTTAGCAGGGCCAAGGCTCCAGAAACGTCCGGGTCAATACCCATGACCCAACCGGATGCTTCGGATCCGACATTGCCAAAATCAGAGTTTTCCAAGCATTTATTTTCATTCTCATCCAAAAAAGGGCAAGAGAGAGAGTCAAGCCAGTTCAATTTAAGTTGCTGGGCATCTATGGTTTTACTAGCCCTGGTGGAAACTTTGGGTGGCGAATTTGAGGTTGAGGGTTCGGGAAGTGTAGTTTCTGGGAGGTGGATTTGGGCGGCGGCGAATCGTCGAAAGGTTGTGGATGTGAGGCGGAAGACCGGTGGCGGAAATTTGGAGGCGAGTGGCGGGGTCATGAAATGACGGAGGTTTGGAGGGAAGGGATAAAGGGGTTTTGAGAGGGTTTCCATTAACACACTGTGAGAGGGAAATTGATTGTTGGGCGCCAAATGTAATAAAATAAATTAATAATAATCCCCTTTACGTCACGCATTGGACTCGAAGAATTATTTCTTTTTTGCCATGTAACTTTATTATTTTTCAATTTAATCACCCAACTTATACTTTTATTTCAATTGATTGCCTAAGTTATATTCTAATTGCATGTTGATTATAAAGCATCTAGCCATCGTCAAAATGGATAAAATTCACGACCTCGATGAAGAGGCTTGTGATATGGTCAATGGAATTTATGATTTAGCTATCGTAAGTTAGTGATGTGCATATCTCTCCACATCATATCTATTAAACAGTGATGGACAAATGTAATTGGTATCGACGGCAGTCGAAACCACACAACAGAATAACTTGAAAGGTTTACATACTTGAAAAAATCTAATATAACTTATAAAATTAAGTTTCATTCATAATAATTATGGTGCTAATTTATTTTTTGTTACAATAAATTGATGAATTAATAGCCACAACAATAAGTGTGTGTTTGGTATGGATTTTTTGGGGGAAGAATTGATTTTGAATAGTGATATGATGGGAAATGTATGGTTGAAAAAAAAGATAAGATTATTGATGTGATAGAAAATATTATTTTATTGAAGAATGTATGATTGAAAATGAGAATTGATTTACTGTTGAAAATGAGAATTTTTACCAAACATAGCCTAAAAGTGGAGAAAATATCTCTTCACGAGAAGTTGGATCTTTTGCTCTGTGTATAGAGGTTGGACTGGAGTAATTCTATTATGATTTTCTTGAGAATCGGACTAAATTAATTTTCATTGACTACTCTGAAATGGAATTATCTATTATATTTGATTATATAGCTAGAATCGAGAAGTGGAATAAAATCATTTGGTTTTCGATTTTGAAACTCAAAATTACAAAATGATAATTAGAATCGAGTTGAATTGATTAGTAATTTAATTCGAAAGTAGAATAGAATTGTCTGGTTTTTAATTCTAAAAGCTCAAAACTAAATAAATAAATAAATATATACATATATGGAATATGCTACTTGTACATAATGTCGTGTCCATAAAGGTGTACACCTCCTCGCATGGAGAGGGATCCACTTTGAATATATTATATTTTATTCGAAGTGGGTCCCCCTCCATGTGAGGGGATGGACACCCCATTATGTACGTGTAGCATCACCCTACGTATATATATATCACTAGAAAGAAGTTGAAGTGACTAATTCAATTCGATTCAAACAATTTAAGAAAAAAATGTTTCACTATATTTAAGATAAAAAAATTAGCGAGTAGGGTCATGTTTGTTTCGAATTAAAATCAGATTTTAATCTAAATCTAAATCAAACAATCATTATTAATCATATATTTCATGGATCTCACAATTTTTCAACAACACATTTCAAAAAAAAAAATTTTTACAATTTACTAAAAATTTAATTTTAATCATCACCAAACACCACCTAATTTCAAAATTAATTCCAATTGAATCGGGCATCGAATTAAGAATTTCTATTGAGGATAAGTCCAATTACTCATCCAAACGCGTGTAAATTCAGTACAAAATTAAAATTATTTAGAATTCTTTCTTCACACGGTACAATCACCTATTGTAGTACAATAAATGGATGATTGTAACGCAGAGTACAAGATTGTCCTTGCAAAGTACAAACTTCGAAGCATTTTTAATCCTACAATTGTACAATAAATGGATGCAGTACTCCACACCCCAGCTATATAAGAATTGTAAGATTTTGCATATATGTAGCTAAGAATTGCGAGAAAGGGCAATGATGAAAGGGTCCAACTGGGTCGATATGAGAACACGTGTATATCACAATTTCAACATAGTGCTTCAGCATTCGAGCCCTCGACTTTTAAAAGGTCATATGAAAAAGTGATTCGACGTGTGTTCTCAGGTCGCCCCCGTAGGATCATTTATCATCGTAGATTGAATGCAACTTCAATAGTAATTGCCGTACTACGATGCTTCAGTCGACGAACACAATCGAAAAATAGGTTTGTTTTTGTTTCCTTTTTTCTTTGGGCAAATTACATTAAACTAGTCTTTTGAGTAATGACTTCTTGTTCACATAGCTCCGCATAGTTATCTTCTATACTATTATGTCGTTTCCTACAAAGTCGTGCATAATAACTGCAAGGAAAACTTCGATTATTTACCCCCTCTCAATTTAATTGTTTTACACTTTTTACTATAAAATTTATTTTTTACCTTGTCCATATCTAACAGGTTAAAACGATTCTAATTATATCCGTCTTTTTCGAAGAGTCGTGAATAATAGTAAAGTTCATTATTTTTATCGTTAACTTTTATTATTGTATTGCGATCGTTATTTGTTTCTAATAAAAAGTAATATGTATTAGCATTTTGAATAAAATTTTATATTTTAGCTCATCAAAAGAAGACAATAAGACAATTGATTGAATCATGGAGTTGATTATTAAATTTTAATATTAATTTGACTATTACCAAATTGGTTACATGAAAATACCTAGATGTTTTGGTAACTTAAAACTATTAAAAAAAATCAAGAAATGAAAATTCAATCTTATGTTAGAAATGATAATCAACTTGAATTAATGTAAAAGTAAGAATGGAGTAGTAATGAAACTCAAAAAATTAATAAACTCGAGATAGAGTTAAGCATGCACATCTATGATTAGCTCGAGAAAAATGTTAACACCTCAGTCAAGACTAAAGAGTACTTGAACAAATTGATAATATCGGTCATAAAATTCATGGGAGTAAATTGAGTTGTGTTGGAAGCCTGTATTGGGCCACGCGTTGAGCTCGACATGACCCAATGGTCTAACAAAAAACTATCCAAAATCGTAGTAAAAATCATAAAGATGAATTTATGCTTATTACTCATCTCCATCAAGAGATTTATTAATTCTGATTATCGATTATCTATAAAGAAAGAAAAAAGCAATAAAAATTTAAGACAAACTTTTGACAACATTGAAAATCTGATTTTAAAATACGATGTTTGAAACACGATATATATTGTTCGAAAGAAACTCGACGACCAACTACAATCGAAAAAAAAACAAGCTTTTTCTTGACATACGATAAAGGTAGGTACGGTGACCATATTGTTAAATCAATACCTGCTAGGCGAATGTGACCAAACGTAATAAATTTTGGGTTGAATTCAAAATAA